ATTTTGAGGGGACCGCATATTTACACTGTTATACAAACAGTACACTTACTACTTTACATTGTAGCAGAATGTCAATTCTTCAGTGTTGTCACATGAAAATATATTATAAAATATATACAAAAATGTGAAGTGTGTACTCACTTTTGTGAGATACTGTGTATATATATATATATATTTATTTACACACTGCACACTAAACACGGCACCCCACACCCACTACACCCCCCCACACACACAGCACCCCTCACACACACACAGCACCCCTCACACACACACACTGGACCCTTCACACACACATACACACACACTGGCCCCTCACACGCACACACACTGGACCCCTCACACACACACAAACACACACTGGACTCCGCCCACACACAAACACACACTGGACACCCCCACACACAAACACTGGATCCCTTACACACACACACACACACACACACACACACTGGACCCTTCACACATACACTGGATCCCACATCCACTGCACACACACACTGCACCCCTCCACAAACACACATTGCACCACACACACACCCACTGCACCCTTTAACACACTGCACGATTCACACACACACTGCATCCTTCACACACACTGCACCCTTAACACACACTGAACACTTCACACACAAACTACACACACAGATTGCAACCCTCACACACATTGCATCTTACACACACACACACTACTGCCACTATCCCCTACTAAAAACCCTATTCCCTACTAGAGGCCCTATTCCTGCAGACCCCAGGTAAATTGTCAAACTGTCCTTAAATGGTTTGAGAAGATGAGAAGGTCTGAGAAGGTGCCACAGGACTCCTGGCACCAGAACCCCTACAGAGGGCTGTGGTGGTTATTGTGCCTGGATTGTTCCTTTAAATAATCTACACGTGCCCCTATCGAGATTAGGTTCTGGTCAAGATAATAATCCAAATTCTTGAACTCTGCAAACCCTAGCTAGGAAATCTCCACAAAGTAAAACTAAGTTACAGACAACTTTAGCAGTTTGTTTATTAATTGCAAACAGATCATGGACTATTTTACTTACCTGTGAGGTCTTCAGTCACATAGGCTCTTACAAGTATATCTCCCCAATTTATGACAGATTTGACCTCTTCATAGGTGAAGCTGAAGTTTACGGATCCTGAGATCTTCAAATAAAAATGATAATCAACATTGCAAAGGTGTTTGTTTTATGTTGCCGCAGTTCTACCACATAGTTATTTAAATTATTAATTATAATTAAATTTAGAAAGAGAAAAAAAAAAGTATTCTATACATATTTCTGTGATATTTCAAATTATTTCTACAAATTGCATGCACTTTTATATATATTAAAATATGTAACATTTTAAAGGTACTTATTTAATCTGCTAAAACAACTACATACGGAATACATACATGTTATTTAGCCCTTTTTAAATGCATCTAGCTCTCAGTCAATAAATCATGGGACATGTGGTCCACAATCAACTGCAATGGCAGCTTCAGCTGTTATTTGTACATAACATTTTCCTCTATGTTTTTTAATCACAGGTGTAACGTTTCAATTTTTATAGTAATACTTTTGAAATATATAAAAATAGACAATCTAGGCATCAATTTTAGATTTTAGGCATTTCATAGATTTTATCCTAAATAATTGATTTTTGCACACCCAATTTTGTATAGTTTTAATATAGATTTTAAAAAATAAATACATGTTTTGAATTTTAACCCTCTTTCCTCTGTCCCAAATCTTCCATTCTCCCATTCTACAATATTCCTTTTTGTTGGTACTTTATTGTGCGTACAACTCATTTTCTATCCAGTGTGTCCAGTTACACAAATTTACACCGTGGAAGCTCATCGATAAGGGTACTTGGGACAGTTCCCCACCAGTTTCCATGCGAGAAAAAATTTATTTGCACTAATTTAGAAACTTTTTACTGAAGAAGCCAAAAAAAAAGGGAATTATTTTTTCTCAAAATTGTGGATAATACATTTGATTGCACTCAATTCCATTTGTGTGCATTAATCATCACGCTAGTTGGAAGGTATTTGTGATGTTTTACCATGAATGCTATGTAGGGATGCAGCGAAATGAAAATTCTGGGCCAAAACTGACTATCTGCCTGGCTCTGCTCAGTGTGCTCACTGTGTCCTACAATCACCGTTCACTGCCCCAGCATGCTCCACATTGCCCGCCGTAATTAGCCAGCTGGCCTCAATGGTCCACCCAGCGCACACTCCCGGTCACCAACACACTGTGCGCTCCCGATCACCAACTCCAGGAGCATGACATGGGTGCAATTTTCAGCAGATTTTATCCATTTTCGTCCAAAATGGGATAGACCCATTTTTGCCGAACATTTCGGCTGCCGAAATTTCGGTGCATCCCGAGCACCAAGCTTATCATTTTTACTTTATAATTCTCTACAATACCAGTTAGTACACTTTTACTTTCTTTCACTGTGTACATGCCGTCATATTGCCATCTTAAATGTTTTTTTTTTCTTTTCATATTGTCTGACATATTACTAGCCTATCATTTCCTATTTGGATTCCATACTTTTGTGTTGAGGGTTGCCATGGAAACCTATGTCCTAGACTCTTTTTTTATGCAGTTTTACTTTTCCCCACAAAAGTTCTCTAAGTATTTAGCTGCTTAATAGCACACACGGCAAATTCTATTTTAATTTTCACTGAAAGACGATTTTAAAGTTGGGTTGCCATGGCAACCAGTTTGTACATTTTCTTTCACTGTTTTTTTACAGCGTCTTAGTCCGCTCAGGGCTGGTGGCCGGGGGGGCGGAAAAGAACACTAGATACCATCTTCAGTTTAATAGCCCCCACTCGCGTGGCACAGGTAGGGGCTTGGGAGGGGGTATACTATTTTTTTAAACAGTGGGCTGCTCACTGTTTAGTAGACATGCACCTGTTTAGTAGACATGCCTTATAGCGAGTAGGGGCAGAATTTACTAATACTTAGTAATCTTTACTTAGTATTAGTAAATTTGGCTGAAGGACCAATTTAGGTCTTTCAGCCTTTCGGTAGATAGCTCCCTAATACCGTGGGAATTAGGGAGTTATCTGCTAAGCAGCTGAAAGATACAGCCACGGCACAAATGAAATTCTGATCCGAACAAAGTCCCAAATTGCATCCTAACATGAATGGAGAAACTGTTCTCATTCTGTTAGGATGCAATTCGGTAGTTTTGCCGGCGTTCTGTCTAAATGATAGAACATTCGGGAAAAGTGAAAGGAGGCTTTGCGGGAACACAAAGGAAAGGTGAGAATTGTGGGAAAATTGCTCTGACCACCGGAAATGAAACACACTTTGCTCCTCCGCTGGTCAGGCATAGGAAACCTCCATAAATAGTCCCTACTTTGTCTTATGAAGAACAGATCCTGACAGAGGAAGAGAAGAGGAATCGATTAAAGAAAGGTAAGTTCGGCAGGACAGTGCTGCATTAACTGTATTTATTATGTAGTTAAGGGGTTTGATAGGATTTATTCATTTTTGTGCACAACTGTCAATCTGATGTACAACAATGTCCAGTTCAGCAGCTCTAAATTTGGGAGTGCAGAGATTTGCTTAGAAACTATTGCAAAAGTGTTCCACTTGGCTATTGATAATGTAAGAAAATGGGGCTGGTTTGAAATCTGCCCTGTTTCAACAGGTTTTGCACATGCCTTGTGTCCTGTAAGAAACAATTTGAGGAATTTCCATTGAGTTGCTATTTGGGCAGAAGAGCCAATAGCCCACACGTGGAGGCATGCTTTTGGCTTCTCTATTCAGGGACCACCATTGGCTGATAGCAACAGGAGGGTGGGTTACAGTGTCCACAGGAGAGACTGGGGCTATTGGGGGATAATATTATACACTTACATTTGATAGGGTCCAGGAACTGGTGCTGCTGTGTTACTTCCAAGATGGCTTCTTGCTTCAAGGTGGCAAGCGGCGGGATTCCATGTCCCTGCCAACAGACCCATGGACTACAATTCTCTAAAGCGACCTATACTGCAGGACTTGTGTGGAGCCAGAGGAATAACGCTTGGTGGGCGTAACAAGGCCAAATTGACTGCTGCGCTCATGGAGGATGACCAAGCATGCAGTGAGGCAATGAACCTCAGCCAGGGGCCAGAGATGAGGAGGAAGTGCACAAAGAGGTGGAACGGCACCTGCATATTACCGAGAGCCACCCACAGAGGAGATTGTCAGCAAGACTTTTTTGCAGGTGCAAGTCTATGTCCTTGCCAATAGACAGAGGGCGACCTCCATGAACCCAGATGAAGGAAGAAGGAAGCAGAGGGCGCCGGGAAGCACAACCACCCTGGCCCACAAGCTAATTTCAAAGAGTTCAAGGAAGCAGAAGAAGGCATCGATTACTTTTTACAAGACTTTGAGCGCCAGTGCCTACTCCAAGACGTGGACCCGAGCGACTGGGTCACTATCCTGGCCAGCAAACTAGTGGGGAAGGCAGCGAATATTTACCTGGCTGTACCAGAACAGCATATCAGAGACTATCCCTTTATTACACAAATCCTCCTGGCCCGGTATGTGGTCACCCCCGAGCAATACCGACGAAAGTGTAGGGAGACCCGGAAAGGGGAGAAAGGCTCCCATGCGGAGTGGGCATGCCGCATCACAAGGGCCACCCAGAACTGGCTCAAATCCCATCAAGCCAAGTTTCTGGAGGAGATCACCCAGCTCGTCATGCTAGAGCACTTTTTCAATGGGCTCCCCAACGACACAGCTGGTGAGAGACCGCCAGCCCCAGACCCAAGAAGTATTGGTATGAGCTGCTGAAGCTAGCTCACGATATCCCTTTGGCAGTGCATTTGGGCAGGAGCCGGACAGCGTCTCGGCTCACCCACAGCTTCTTCTGGCCAGGCATCTCTCAGGATCTGAGGCAGTACTGCCAGAGAGTGCGGAAGAGAAGGGACCGGCACAGGGCCCCCCTCCATCCCCTAACTATTAGTGAAGATCTGTTAGGCAGAGTAGCTGTCGACATTATAGTTGCGCAGGCACTTTGGTGACTCTAGAGAACCTCGGGCCAATCGCACGTCCCCGTGACGGCGACGACGCATCGGATGTCTGCCCTATCAACTTTTGATGGACTTTCTGCGCCTACCATGGTGACCATGGGTAACGGGGGATCAGGGTTCGATTCCAGAGAGGGAGCCTGAGAAACGGCTACCACATCCAAGAAAGGCAGCAGGCGCGCAAATTACCCACTCCCGACGCATGGAGGTAGTGATGACAAACAACAATACAGGACTCTTTAGAGGCCCTGTAATTGTAATGAGTCCACTTGAAATCCTTTAACTAGGATCAATTGGAGGTCAAGTCTGGTGCAGATCGATTGACCCGTGTGTGCTGCAGCTGAAACTCCACTATCGCCTGCTGCTGCTCGCACAGTCTCTCCAGCATGTGCAAGGTGGAGTTCCACCTTGTGGGCACGTCGCATATGAGGCGGTGAGCGGGAAGGCCAAAGTTACGCTGCAGTGAAGACAGGCGAGCAGCAGCAGGGTGAGAACGCCAAAAGCGCTCACTGTGTAAGCACAGTATTTGACGGTTCTATTTGACTCTCAGATATGAAGTACACCGCAGGCCGCAAATGTACTAATTAGCACGCAAAACAACTGGAATTTTTCAAAGTGCGCTGTAAGCACAGTGTTTGACGGTTCTATTTGACTGTCAGATATGAACTGCAGGCCGCAAATGTACTATTTAGCATACAAAACAATTTGAATTTTTCAAAGTGCGCTGTAAGCACAGTGTTTGACGATTCTACTTGACTATCAGGTATGAAGTACACCGCAGGACGCAAATGTACTATTTAGCATTAGCACCCAATGAAAAAATAGAATTTTTCAAAGTGCGCTGTAAGCACAGTATTTGATGGTTCTATTTGATTCGCAGATATGAAGTGCACCGCAGGACGCAAATGTACTATTTAGCACTAGCACCCAAAACAATTTGAATTTTTCAAAGTGCGCTGAAAGCACAGTATTTGACGATTCTAACTGACTCTCAGATATGAAGTGCACACCCCAAATTTACTTTGTATCACCCAAAACAATTAGAATTTTTCAAAGTGCACTGAAAGCACAGTGTTTGATGGTTCTATTTGACTCTCAGATATGAAGTGCACCGCAGGACGCAAATGTACTATTTAGCATTAGCACCCAAAACAATTTGAATTTTTAAAAGTGCACTGAAAGCACAGTGTTTGACGGTTCTATTTGACTCTCAGATATGAAGTGCACTGCAGGACGCAAATGTACTATTCAGCACCCAAAACAATTTGAATTTTTCAAAGTGTGCTGTAAACACAGTGTTTGACGGTTCTATTTGACCCTCAGATATGAAGTGCACCGCAGGACGCAAATGTACTATTTAGCATTAGCACCCAAAACAATTTGAATTTTTCAAAGTGCGCTGAAAGCATAGTATTTGACGGTTCTATTTGACTCTCAGATATGAAGTGCACCGCAGGACCCAAAACTATTAGAATTTTTCAAAACGCGCTGTAAACACAGTGTTTGACGGTTCTATTTGACTCTCAGATATGAAGTGCACCGCAGGACGCAAATGTACTATTTAGCACCCAAAACTATTAGAATTTTTTAAAGTTCGCTGTAAGCACAGTATTTGACGGATCTTTTTGACTCTCAGATATAAAGTGCACCGCAGGACGCAAATGTACTATTTAGCATTAGCACCCAAAACAATTGGAATTTTTAAAAGTGCGCTGTAAGCACAGTGTTTGACGGTTCTATTTGACTCTCAGATATGAAGTGCACCGCAGGACGCAAATGTACTATTTAGCACCCAAAACTATTAGAATTTTTAAAAGTGCGCTGTAAGAACAGTGTTTGACAGTTCTATTTGTCTCTCAGATATGAAGTGCACCGCAGGACGCAAATGTACTATTTAGCATTAGCACCCAAAACTATTAGAATTTTTCAAAGTGCGCTGTAAGCACAGTATTTGACGGCTCTATTTGACTCTCAGATATGAAGTGCACACCCCAAATTTACTTTGTATCACCCAAAACAATTAGAATTTTTCAAAGTGCACTGAAAGCACAGTGTTTGACGGTTCTATTTGACTCTCAGATATGAAGTGCACTGCAGGACGCAAATGTACTATTTAGCATTAGCACCCAAAACAATTTGAATTTTTAAAAGTGTGCTGTAAGCACAGTGTTTGATGGTTCTATTTGACTCTCAGATATGAAGTGCACCGCAGGACGCAAATGTACTATTTAGCATTAGCACCCAAAACAATTTGAATTTTTAAAAGTGCACTGAAAGCACAGTGTTTGACGGTTCTATTTGACTCTCAGATATGAAGTGCACTGCAGGACGCAAATGTACTATTCAGCACCCAAAACAATTAGAATTTTTCAAAGTGTGCTGTAAGCACAGTGTTTGACGGTTCTATTTGACTCTCAGATATGAAGTGCACCGCAGGACGCAAATGTACTATTTAGCATTAGCACCCAAAACAATTAGAATTTTTCAAAGTGCGCTGAAAGCACAATATTTGACGGTTCTATTTGACTCTCAGATATGAAGTGCACCGCAGGACGCAAATGTACTATTTAGCATTAGCACCCAAAATATTGGAATTTTTCAAAAGTGCGCTGTAAGCACAGTGTTTGACGGTTCTATTTGACTCTCAGATATGAAGTGCACCGCAGGACGCAAATGTACTATTTAGCACCCAAAACTATTAGAATTTTTAAAAGTGCGCTGTAAGAACAGTGTTTGACAGTTCTATTTGTCTCTCAGATATAAAGTGCACCGCAGGACGCAAATGTACTATTTAGCATTAGCACCCAAAACAATTGGAATTTTTAAAAGTGCGCTGTAAGCACAGTGTTTGACGGTTCTATTTGACTCTCAGATATGAAGTGCACCGCAGGACGCAAATGTACTATTTAGCACCCAAAACTATTAGAATTTTTAAAAGTGCGCTGTAAGAACAGTGTTTGACAGTTCTATTTGTCTCTCAGATATGAAGTGCACCGCAGGACGCAAATGTACTATTTAGCATTAGCACCCAAAACTATTAGAATTTTTCAAAGTGCGCTGTAAGCACAGTATTTGATGGCTCTATTTGACTCTCAGATATAAAGTGCACCGCAGGACGCAAATATACTATTTAGCACCCAAAACAATTTGAATTTTTCAAAGTGTGCTGTAAGCACAGTATTTGATGGTTCTATTTGACTCTTAGATATGAAATGCACCGCAGGACACAAATGTACTATTTAGCACAAAAAAGTGTGATTTTTTAAACCAATAATGCAACAGTAGTATTTAAGGGTTTTATTAGACTGCAAGAAATGCAGTACGCAAATGTACTATTTAGCACTCAAAAAATTGCAGTATTTAAAAATACCTAGATGTTGCCCACTGAGCTACCAGAACAGCATTAAAGTCATGTGCCTGACACACATGCAGTTGCAAGTGCACTGCACTCTCTGTGGCACTGGGCTCAGGGCAGGGTACAAAAATGTAGAATAACACCCACTAAAATAATCGCTGTAGTTTGAATAATCGCTGTAGTTTGCAGTTTCAACACCAGAATTCTTTCCTAAACTGTGGCTCCAGCTTATATATAGAGGCTGGGTCACATGCTGCACTGGCCAATCACAGCCATGCCATTAGTAGGAACAGCTGTGATGGCTTCTAAGGGCAAACGAGTCAAACGCTTGTTGATTGGCTGCCCTGCAGCCTTTCAAATTGCGCCATTAAATCACTGAACACCAAACTCCAACCCGAACATACACTGAAATGTCCGTGTTCGGATCCGGGGTCCAAAAACCGTAATGTTCGGTATGAACCCGAACTTTGCGGTTCAGGTTCGCTCAACTCTAGTAAGGAGTCTATCAGTATCCTCCTGCTTTAACCCTGTGTACAGTGTGCTGAGAGCAAAGAGTGAGCATGGAGTAGCTGACATGGATGGAGTCAGTATCTTGATGCTTTAACCATGTGCACACTGTGTGCTGAGAGCTAATAGAGTAGCTGACATGTTTCATAACAGCAGCAATATTTAATAGAAAGCAATAGTTATCATAGAAGGAGCAGTACTGAAGATAAGATCATGTAAGGGAGACCTGAGGGAGGGCTGAAATAGAGAGAGAGAGAGAGAGAGAGAGAGATAGAACCTTTTACAGAGACATGTACTGTGTGGGGATCATTGTATTGCAGCTCTATCTAATCCATCACAGTGATCCTGGCTGCGTGGTATACTTATGAGTATCTCCTTATTGTGTCCAGATCTGTGTGTTATGTCTTTGTATTTTACTCAGCTCTGCCTGTTCTATGGTATCTCTGTAGTTTACCTAGCTTTGTGTATTATATAGGTATCCTTGTATTGGCTTTGTGCATTATATCTTTATTTTTTCTCAGCACTGTTTGTAGTATTGATGTTTGTATTGTAGCTCCGTATATTTTTTTGATTTCTCTATGTTGTGCCCAGCTTGTTTTATTGTAGGAGTATCATCTTAAAACGTCACCAGCTGGATGTACATACCTTCAGGAAACACAGCAGAACATTTTGAGGCTGTACACAGATATTTTTGATGTCTGCTAGTCATTTTCCTATATTTTAACACCTGCAATTCTGAGATAAACAAATGTTTAAACTCCATAGACCAGAATGAGTGGCTCATGTTTGGTTGAGCTACTCCCTGCTTGAACTTGGGGAAACCACTTGAAGCATTCATTGTGTTGAGCTATTTCAATTGCTTTTTGTTAGATTTGTTCATTGCAAACAGCTGAAAGTCTGTACATTTTGACAATAAAGCAGATTTTCAATGGGGTTTGAATAGTTTTAATTGCAACTGTAACCTTATTTATCGATTTCATGGAAAGGTTAAATAAATACACTTACCTCATATGTTTTCATAAACACTTGAGTATTCCAATAATTATATAATGGTTCTATTGACACGGTGACATTCCCTTTCACTAGTTTTCCATAATTATATCTAAGATTAGAAAAAAGTATTAACAAACATCAAATAGATCTATTGTTTTATGTGTGGCATGAAGCTGTAATAAAAGAGTTCACGGGTAATGTAGGGCAATTATGTATTTAAAAGTCCCTGCTTTCTCTACAGTGTTAACGCTGCCTTTACTGAACAAAAGGCAGTGTTGACATTGCTGGCTAGCATCACCTTTAGTGATTGTCACATGAACAGACTCTAGAGAGGTTCCTAGGTTGAGGTCCTGCAAAGACTAA